AATAAAATTCCCTAAATTTCTCTAATAGAACCAATGGTTCTAAACTCTCCCTGGTGCAGATATGTCATTGTCAGCAAAAAATGTGTTACAAGGTACACCATATAACGTTTCATATGGTGTCTCACCATTTGTATTATCAGGTATGTTGTTAACGCTCATCTGTACCATAGGAATAAGTGGATACCACTGTGTGGAGGCAAGCAACTAGCAACTTGTTTAATAGTCTTTTTACCTCAACATTTTTCCGTTCCACAACCCCACTACTTTGGGAAATCAGTGTACCCAACCATCCCCAAAGTAAGACAAATGTGGTTGCCCAGTTTTGGCTTTCCTTTGCAGTAAATGCAGGACCACCATCCAAGTGGATGGTCCTGAGTTTACCAATGCATACTAAGGAAGTGAGACTAGCAATCATGGTATTAGAGGTTGCGCTTTGCACAGGATAGAACCAAATAAACGTGGTACATGCACCAACACATACAAAAACATATTTATAACCATGAGATGGTGGCAAATGTCCAACATCTAATTCAAAAGGTATGTTAGCTATATTTCAATAAACAGTACAACAGTAATGTGGCTTAGTTACCTATAAGCAAATGCTTACAATTACTAACATAAACTGCAGTATTTCCTATATTTGGCCACCAATATTCCTTTTCAGGAGTTAGAAGTATATTACCTCTATCTATATGAGCTTGTCCAGCCTTGAATATGCTTTTAGGGTAAGTCTCTCTTTCCTCTACATGAAGAACAACCAACGTATTACCTTAAATGGTTATTATATAATTAACTCCTCTAAATGATAGGAGTATTTATGTGGATAACCAAGTGGATCAGAACTGGTTATCCTTGCAAGCAAAAAGGCTCTGTATCAAGACTGCGAGATAGAGTATGTGTTTGTGATCTAGTGGCCACTATCAGAATAGCGTTGGTAGACACATTGCATCAAAGTGCCTGTTAATGACCAACTATATAAAGAGAGGGACTAAGCTTATAAGCACGTCCATACATTTATTACAATGTCAGGCTTTCGATTTATCGACACTCTGAGGAGCGATGAACCCCTTGACTACTGGGTGTGCAGGCTTGACCTGTGGCCTGAGCTATCCCAATTTGCGATAGAACTTCTGGCCTGCCCCGCTTCAAGTGTCCTGTCAGAAAGGACCTTCAGTGCAGCAGGAGGTATTGTCACTGAGAAGAGAAGTCGCCTAGGTCAAAAAAGTCTAGATTACCTCACCTTTATTAAGATGAATGAGGGATGGATCCCGAAGGGACTGACACTGGGCGATACATTAGATTAAAAAAGGCCTGATGAGATGAGCTGCCTTGGGCTAAAATGGTCCACACGCTGCTGTATTTTAGCTCTGAATGCCTGTTGACTTGCGTGACTGATCCGCCACCAACTAGGTTTCAAGCCGCCATGTTTTAGGGCACTTTCTGCCTGTGAAACAAACATCACTTATAGATTGAATAGCAGTTAGTTGTCTCAAAGCGGGTGTGTCAGCCCTACAGCGTGTACTCTGCCAGTTTACAGTGCCACTCATATCTGGTGTCATAATAGCTTGCATTTAAAAACAAAAAACTTTTTTCACTGTTATAGATTGAATAGCAGTTAGTTGTCTGCCAGCAGGTGTGTCAGGCTCACAGTGGATACTGTGCCCAGTACCACCACTCACTCACTGGTACCCGGACGAAATTTATTTTCACAAAAGGCAATCCCCAACCTGTACTCAATTGTGCAAAAGGAAATAATGGCATGTCTGGCACACAGTGTTGGGGCAAGGGTCCATCTGACCACTGATACCTGGTCTGTAAAGCATGGTCAGGGCAGGTATATCACCTACACTGTGCATTGGGCAAACCTGCTGACGGCTGCCAAGCATGGAATGCGTGGCTCTGCAGAGGAGTTGGTGACACCGCCACGACTTGCAGGCAGGCCTGCTGCCACCTCCTCTACTCCTCCTACTCCATCCTCTTCCATAACCTCTTCGGCTGAGTCCTCTTCTGCTGCTGCGTCTTGCTCCACATCAACGGATAGGGTACGTAACAGTGATTAAACTGATAAAAATAGTACTAAACACACCACTCCTATCTGGTGGCACATTAGATTGCACGCGCAGTGCCCCAAATTTGTTGTGATCTGTGAGTAAGGTAAACGGCTGTCCATACAAGTAGGTTGCAGCTTTTTGAGGGCCCACACCACCGCCATGCACTCCTTTTCAATGGCAGTGTATCTACTTCCCTGGGCAAAAGTTTACGGCTTAGATAAGCCCCGGTTTGCTCGCCACCATCTGCTCCGACTTGGCTCAGTACTGCTCCCAATCCAAACATAGAAGCGTCTGTATGGACGAGAAAGTGTTTAGTTGGATCAGGAGAAGAAAGTACAGGTGATTTAATGAGCGCCGTCTTGAGCTGTTGGAAGGCCTGTTCACACTCTGGGGCCCATACTACTATCTTGGGAGGTTTTTACACGTTCCTATATGGCACTTACTGGGCTTTAGGGTCAGTCCGGACTCCCTAATCCGGTCTAGTACGGCTCCTATGTGGGTCAGGTGTTCGGACCAGGAGCAGCTAAAAATGGCTATATCATCCAAGTAGGCGCAGGCATACTCCTGAAACCCATCCAGTAGCCGATCTACCATCCTCTGAAAGTTAGCCGGGGCATTCTTCATCCCGAATGGCATGACCTTAAACTGATACAGGCCAAACAAAGTGACAAATGCCGACTTGTGGATGGCGTCCTCGGCTAATGGAATTTGCCAGTACCCCTTGCACAGATCTATTGTGGTGAGGTACTGGCCTCTGGCCATTTTGTCTAGGAGCTCGTCTATCCGGGGCATAGGATAGGCGTCTGAGGTTGTTCACATGGAGCATGCGCTTGCCTCCCGTGCCTGTGACCGCACCGACCAAAGGTGGTATCACAAACCTTGTGGTATCACAAGTCTGCAGCTTGTCCTTGTGGACAGTGTCAATCCATATCTGCCAAGTGACCCTATGTAGGGGTAACAGTCCCTATTCTGATCTGTGTCAGTGTGTATCAGGGGCTCTGAGGACAGGTGTCAATCCATATCTGCCAAGTGACCTGATGTAGGGGGAACAGTCCCTATTCTGCTCTGTGTCAGTGTGTATCAGGGATCCCTAGGACAGGTGTCAATCCATATCTGCCAAGTGACCCTATGTAAAAAAAGGCCTGATGAGATGAGCTGCCTTGGGCTAAAAATGGTCCACACGCTGCTGTATTTTAGCTCTGAATGCCGGTTGACTTGCGTGACTTATCCGCCACCAACTAGGGTTCAAGCCGCCATGTTTTAGGGCACTTTCTGCCTGTGAAACAAATATCAATTTTTCTGGCCGCTGCTACAGCAGCGGCTGCAACAATACCGAATTTTTCAGGCATGTGTACATGCCTAATTTTTAGGCCCTCTGGTGCTGCACTGTGGCTTCAAAACTTTTTTTCACTGTTATAGATTGAATAGCAGTTAGTTGTCTGCAAGCGTCAGAAAGTCACCCCCTTGCCCGGCGTCTGACACCTGGATTGTCTGAACTATTAGCCCGCCAGCTTTTACCATACAATCTGGTGGAGTCTGAGGCGTTCAAAAAATTTGTAGCTATTGGGACACCGCAGTGGAAGGTACCCGGCCAAATTTCTTTGCGCAAAAGGCAATCCCCAACCTGTACTCGACTGTGCAAAAGGAAGTAATGGCATGTCTGGCACACAGTGTTGGGGCAAGGGTCCATCTGACCACTGATACCTGGTCTGCAAAGCAGTGGGTACTTTATAAATGGCTCCACCTGCCACCCGCACAGCAACACAGTCTCCAGTTAGGAGGACCGACCAAGCATCTTCTTCCATCTCCCTGTTACAGAAATCACTGCCATGTACACGTCCACTGATAGGAGACGCGGAAGGTATTAAACTGATCAGAACAATACTAAACACACCACTCCTATTCAGGCACATTAGCTTGACCGCCGCAGTGCCCCCAAATTTTGAATTCAAGAGGACCCACTTCAAGCATCTTCCATCTCCCCAGCTACAGAAATCACTGCCATATCCATACAAATTGTGGCCAGAATGTCCAGGATAGTTTTCCAGGGACAAATGTTGTCGCTTCGTTGAATCCAGGTGACCTTGCTCGTCCCAGGTGTGCGTTCTAAAATGGTTGCCATATACACGCCCACTGATAGGAGACGCGAAAGGTATTAAACTGGATCAGAACAATACTAAACACAACACAAATAAGGTTTCTCTCCTGTATGGTTCTCAAATGATGCTTGGGGTGCGATCATTTTCTAGTGCACCCAGACCACTTCAGCTTAATGAAGTGGTCTGGGTGCCAGGTCCTTCTAGGGTTAACCCATTTTTTCATAATTATAGCAGTTTCAGAGAAACTGCCATAATTATGAATGGGTTAAGCCTTCCCCCTAATCCTCTAGTGGCTGTCTCATTGACAGCCACTAGAGGCGCTTGCGTGCTTCTCACCGTGATTTTCACAGTGAGAGCACGCCAGCGTCCATAGGAAAGCATTATGAATGCTTTCCTATGTGACCGGCTGAATGCGCGCGCAGCTCTTGCCGCGCGTGCGCATTCAGCCCAGGAGCAGGAACGGAGGAGGATCGGAGGAGGAGAGCTCTCCGCCCAGCGCTGGAAAAAGGTAAGTTTAAACCCCTTTCCCCTTTCCAGAGCCGGGCGGGAGGGGACCCTGAAGTGGCGGGGGGGTACTGGGTACTATGCAGTGCGCCAGGAAACATACCGCTTTCCTGGTACCGCAGTGAACCTTAAGATTAGAAGCGGCTGAAAAGCATTTCTCACACTCCGAACAAAAATATATATTTTTAACATTCTCTCCACTTTGAACGAAATGACGTTTGGGAAGAGATTAACATAATTAAACACAGGCAGTAAAAATACAGTTTTTGGCCATACACTGTAACTTTAAAACTACACATCCCATCTTCATAACAATTACATATTTGGAATCAGCACACTTAAAACATAAACATAACCAAAAATCAGCCAAATCCATTCAGGGGTTAAAAAGTTAGCTGGAGGTCCCTTTATGACCGACCGCAAGCACATTTTCCTGCCCAAAACAGTTCCATAGATTTGGGCTGTGAGGTCGGTCTATTTCAGGCTGAAAAAATGACTAAGTCCCATCGCCGAATGGGACTTAGTCTCTGCAGCTGTAAAACCAGTAGGGGAGAAGGTAGAGTTTCATGTGGTAGCTGAAATGTGTAGCCGATTTTAGTTCCATGAATTTGGCTACACATACCGCTGACCTCGTCGAATGATCAAAGATGGTCGCCGCCACGTGTTCGGCAAACGAACAAAGACCTCCCAGCATTGTCAATTAAGCTGCGGTTAACCGCAGCTTCTGGGAGGTAAATTGCCTGCACACTTCCACTTCTGGGTGGTCTGCCTGTGGTACTTGGTTCAGTAAAGCCATTTACCGGAACCAAGTGGGAAATAGCCAGGCAGGCACAAAGGGTTTGCACCAGGTCTGGGGACACAGGGGACACCATCTTAAAGGGGCCGTGTCCCCAACAAGTCTGGGGACACGGCCTTAAAGGGGCAGTGTCCCAATCTTCCTGATGTCCCAAAAAAGGTGTTTAAAGGGCCAGCACCAGTCACATAAAGAGTCCATAAGCCCCAATATGCCCACCGACAGTCTTAAAGGGCCATACACACCAAATAAAAGTGCATACATTTTCACAATCTCCCAGGGGCCATAGTCATGCGGGAGGAGGCTGGCAAATAGGCTTCTCCACAACCCAGGGAAGCAGGGCAATTTGCCATTTAAAGGGCCCGTTACAAATAGCAGTTTGTAACAAGGTGTCAATCCATATCTGCCAAGTGACCCGATGTAGGGGTAACAGTCCCTATTCTGCTCTGTGTCAGTGTGTATCATGGTCTCTGAGGACAGGTGTCAATCCATATCTGCCAAATGACCCTATGTAGGGGTAACAGTCCCTATTCTGCTCTGTGTCAGTGTGTTTCAGGGGCTCTGAGGACAGGTGTCAATCCATATCTGCCAAGTGACCCTATGTAGGAGGAACAGTCCCTATTCTGCTCTGTGTCGGTGTGTATCAGGGATCCTTAGGACAGGTGTCAATCCATATCTGCCAAGTGACCCTATGTAGGGGGAACAGTCTCTATTCTGCTCTGTGTCAGTGTGTATCATGGTCTCTGAGGACAGGTGTCAATCCATATCTGCCAAGTGACCCTATGTAGGAGGAACAGTCCCTATTCTGCTCTGTGTCCATGTGCATCATGGGCTCTGAGGACAGGTGTCAATCCATATGTCAAGGTGTCAATATGTCATATGTCAGGTGTCAATCCATATTGATTGTGATTTAGGAATGTTAGGTGATTTCTGCCCTTTATGGATTAAAACCAGACTCTGTATCAACTGTGTAATTTTCCATGGAAGTTTTGCCATGGATCCCCCTCCGGCATGCCACAGTCCAGGTGTTAGTCTCCTTGAAACAACTATTCCATCACTATTGTGGCCAGAAAGAGTCCCTGTGTGTTTTAAAATTCGCCTGCCCATTGAAGTCTATGGCGGTTCGCGCAGTTCGCCGGTTCGCGAACATTTGCGGAAGTTCGCGTTCGCCGTTCGCGAACCGAAAATTTTGTGTTCGCGACATCACTAGAGTTGAAGGTTCGAGTTGCCAAACGTCCGCCTCGAAACCTTAATAACTTGGAGAAGATCTGGAGAAAGGAGTTTGACAAAATCCCTCCTAAGATGTGTGCAAACCTGGTGGCCAAATACAACAAACATCTAAACCTATGTGATTGCCAACAAGGGTATTTCACTCTTTGACATGCAAATTAATTTAGTATTTAAATGTTTTTATTATATTTTCAATTATACATACAACAATTAAAGACAAATGTTATACAAAAACCGTACAGTACAAAAGTTAAATACATATAATATTGTTTAGTATATTTCTCAATTTAGAAAAAGTACATAAAATTTACAAAGTAGCTGAACGAAATAAGTTATTAAAATATATCTTTTATCTTTTTAATCCATTGGTCATAATAGTGAATATTGTTTAAATTATTATTTAAGTATGAAACTCCCCTTTCCATTTCAAGTTGGAATATAAGTTGTTTTTTATACTGAGTGAAATCTGGAGTTGATATGTTATCAAGATTTTGCGATGACTATTTATATTTAAGACAGTGAAGAATCAATATTTGATGATTTTTTGGGAGTTTACCCCATTTAAGGTGAAGCAGATCAATTTTGGAGATTTCTTTAGATTTATATTAAAAACTGACATAGTAGAGTATATAGAGTCCCAGGATGTAATTATGCTTGGACAGTTCCACCAAATATGTATCATAGATCCTTCCTGAGCTAAACATCTTCAGCAGAGTGGGGAATTAGTGACATGCAAATTAATTTACAACTTTTTTGACATGCATTTTTCTGGATTTTTTTTGTTCTGTCTCTCACTGTTAAAATACACCTACCGTTAAAATTATAGACTGATGGGGGGCGGGGCTGGAACGCCAAGCTGGATGGTCGCAAGCAAGACCGGCTCCAGCTAAATTTATAAGACTAAGGCATTAAAACATGATTTACAGCCTAAAAGCAGATCAGCAGCGACGAACCTCAGTGCAGGGGACACACTGGATCCAGGGAGAGGCTGGCTCGCTGAGCTGCAGTCCCTCGGAGGAGAAACCATCGATGTGGCAGTCGGGGCCTTCTCTGGTGGTGAGTGGGGCAGACAGCCGCCGCCCCGCTATCCTACCAACAGCGCCCAGCCAGAGGCCCGGCTTTGAGTGGACCGGACCCAGTTCCAGCCCCCTATGGACCGGTGGGGGTCATCCCGGTCCTCACCCGACCGCCCCGACCACAGCGCCACAACCAGAGCACGGCGACAACATCACAATGGTCGGCAGCCCGAGCACAGCAACTAAAATGTGCTCAAGAGGCAGAGGAGCATCTTGCTCTCTATCCATGCCAACAGCTCCCAATGCAGCTCCCGGGCTCAAGCCTGATAAACCCGCAGCCTTCCATCCTCACGGGGAAGACGAGCGGGGCGACCCACACCGGTCGCTGCAGCTGACCAAACTGGGGTCGGGGTGTGCCCCATCCACACTACCGACAATAGCTACACTGAGGGGACGGAGCACAACACTGAGACTATTCCCTCCAGAAACAACCACTCTTGCCGACAAGCGGGGTAACCCTGCAATGAAGCCGACCTTACACTCACCTCATACCCAGCGGAGATGAAGACAAACCCAGCGTGGAGAGGCAGCAAGTCTCCCCAGACACCACCTTGCACCACACCTCAGAGGACACTAGTCTCCTGAAGCATGAACAAGGCAGACCCAACTTACCTCTGAGGCAACTTGAAGCTAACACACACGGAACCCAGCTCTCTGACTTAATGGACACTAACCCTCCGCTTCACCAATGCGGCAGAGCAGGCATGGGTTAACCAACAGACTGCACCCTTACGAGAGACCCCAAGTCCACCATGCTGTCGACCCTTACTTGCCATGGAGCCGCTGGAAGCATCAATTAAACAGGGTGATATCCTCAAAGACATAACATACCTAACTTCAACATGTACCTTAACATACAATCTACTTTTATGCTCAACCATACTAACCAGTGCTATAATTAAACCGTACATACCAATAGCCTTAAGAATTACTAGCACTATCATCAATGTGTAAAGAATAGATGTGTTACCACAGACATATCAATATAGGTTCCAGCATTAAAAGTGTCCTGTTAGTTACAGTCTAGAGAACGATC